CCAAGTGCTTGAATCGTCCTAGGTACAGCTGTTGCCAAGCTGTGTGAGAGAGAAAAGCAGACAGGTAAAGGCAGCAGTTCTCAATCTGTGAGTCGAATGACCCTTTCACAGAGGTTGCCTGATTCATAACAGTATCAAAATTACAGTTATGAAGTAGCAACGAAAATAATTTTATGGTTGGGGGTCACCACCACATGAAGAACTATATTAAAGGGTCTTGAATTAGGAAGGTTGAGAACCACTGACTAAAGGCATCTAGGGAACAACCTTTGTAACTTAGAAAAGGCAGAGGGTAGCAGCGTTTAGGATTTCTCTTTAAGCCAAGGGAAGAGAAAAATATACGGATTAAAAGTGTAAAACCTTACGATATTTAACAGAATATGAAAATTCTATTTCTTTAATGCGTATTTTATAAACGAATCCTTTTAATACAGCACTTAAGGAGACCTGGTGATGTAGTGGCTTTTGAGTTGAGTCTTTCTCTCTCACAGAACTGCAAGGTCTGAAGTTGCTCCTAGGGAGAAAAACGACACTATCTGATCTCTTAAAGATTTACAGGCCTGGAAACCCACAGGGGCAGTTCTCCCCTGTCCTGAAGGGTCCCTACAAGTTGGTATGGAAGAGTAGGCTGCAGCAGGTTGGGTTGGATTGGAGCCATCTAGCATTTGAGGGACCCCTTGTGGTGCTGGCGGTTAGGCTAACCCACCACTGCTCCATGGGAGAAAGTTTAGGCTGTCTGTTTTTGTCAAGATTTAGTCTCGGAAACCTTATATAGGTTCGCCATGAATTGGACTTTATTTGACAGCAGTTGGTTTATTTTTGGTTTTAATATAGCATTTACAAAATTCTACACTTAGACTTTTATCTATTTTTAATTAAAAGATCATTTTATTGGGGGTTCTTACAGCTCTTATAAACTTAAGGTGTTTTTCGGGCTAAGTGAAAAAAAGAATGAAAAGCGTTCATGGGGGCATCACAACTCAGGGACTTACAGGATGCCCAAAGGCCCTGATGTTGCATATACAGTCTTACATGGAGGCAACTTTCTGGTACGGACGTAAGATGCAGCACTAGGGTCAGAATAAACAGTACCACAATTCAAGTTCACTTTAGGTGTATGATGTGTGACATTGTTATCAGTTTCACCTGAAAAACATCTATATCATAGGGTCATTTTAAAGATTAATCAAGACAATATAAATATAGCAGCTAGTTTATTGCCTACCTCACAAAGCACATTAAACATAGCAGCTTTTGCTATAATTAAACTTCACTGCCAAGGGTGCCCATTGGACTGGTGCTTTTAATTCAAAAGCAAGCATGGAAATTTGGGGGGTGGTGGTGGTGGGAGAAAGCAGAGCCCCAAGAGAGCAAGACAAAACTCTACAATATGAACAAAAAACATGTCCAACTGTATGTTTTGTGGGCTTTCCTCTCACAGACCATATATTTAATATGGTCAATAAAACAGGGTACTCGGTCAACAGTTCAGACTCAAACCTCTTTATTCAAAAATTAAAAACACTCATTTACACCTACCTATACCTTGTTTGTGTGTTTTAAAATCAGGAAAGGTGTACATTAGGATTATATCCTTTTTCCTTACTAATTCAATTGGAATGCTGAGCAAATATTTTAAGAAGCTGGATTATATTAAGAAGAATGAGGCGAAGTATGGGAGGAAGGCTCATTAACTGCCTTTGATATGCCAATGACACAACCTTCCTAACTAAAACTGAAGCAGAGTTGAAGCATTTACTGATGAATGTCAAAAGCCTTCAGTGTGGACTATAAAGAAAACAAAAATCCTTACAACTGGACCAATAAACAACATCATGACAAAGGGAGGAGAAAACAAAGCCGTCAAGGGTTGCACTCTTGTTGGGTTTGCAATCAATGCCCAAGGAAGCAGAAGTCAAGACACCAGATGATTACACTGTGCTCAGCAAATTTGGTGCAAAAGACCTCTTTAAAGTGTTCAAAAGCAAAGATACTATTCAAACCATGCATCCCAACCAAATAGGATATATTTAACTGCCTCACATACATGAGAAAGTTGGACAACAAAAGAATAAGAAAGACCAAAGAATTGATGCCTTTGAATTGTGCTCTTGGCAAATAGTGATGAAACCACGGACTGCCCCAAATGAACTGCCTCGGAAAAGTTACAGCCAGATGCTCCTCAGAAATGAGGATGGAGACTTTTTCTGATGCAGTCTGGACATGTCTGCCTAATCAGGAGAAACGGGTCCTTAGAGAAGGACATCATGTTTGGTTAAGCAGAGGGTCAGCGAAAAGAGCCAAATTCTTAAATGACATGGATTGACACAGCGGCTGCAATGATGGGTAAAAACACAGCCAGAATTGTGACATGACTCAGGACCGGGAGGTGTTTTGTTCTGTTGTACAGCACAAGGGCTTGCTATGTTCACATCACTACCACGTTGTTTAGGAGTGAGGCAAACAGTTACGTCTCAACTACAAATCATTGGTGGCTTAAACCTACCCAGAAACTTCTTGGAACACATGCTTGGTGATTTGCTTTCAAAAGAAAAGCCAATGGAGTTCTGCTCTGTACATTTGGGGTCACCAGGCATGGGAATCGACTAGGCAGCAGTAAGCTACTGCACCCTATTTACTTAAACCATTGAATCCCAGTGACGTTCCAGTAGGTGTCAAAAAGTTTGCCGAGAGTCAAAATTATTGTGGCTCTTCCCCCAAAACTTGTGGACTGTGATCTTTGTCATTATAACGGAACTAGGGTGGCAGTTTGTTATTTGCATACGTGCACAGAGTTGGCTATGGTCCATATTATGTCCAACAGAAGGAAAGACTGCACCACCTGACAACTGTTCCAATGCCTGAGCCATCGATGCAGCCATTGTGTCAATTCGTGGCATCGAGGGCCTTCCTCTTTTTCAATGTCCCTCTGCTTTACCAAACATGATGCCCTTCTCCAGGGACTGGGCTCTCCTGACAATGTGTCCAAAGGATGTAAGATTAAGTCCGGCCATCCTTGCCTCCACGAGCACTCTGGCCTTACTTCTTCCAAGACAGATCAATATGCCTTTTAGCAGGCCATGGGTCTTTCAATATTCTTCTCCAGCACCACAATTCAAGTGCATAGATTCTTCTAGTCTTCCTTATTCAATGTCCAACTTTCACATGCATATGATGCAAAGAATACCATGGCTTGTGTCAGGCTCACCTCAGTCCTCAAAGTAACAGCCTTGCTTTTCAATACTTGAAAGAGGTCTGTGCAGATTTACCTAATGCAACACGCCTTTTGATCTCAACTGCTGTTTCTATGAGCATTGATTGTGGATCCAAGTAAGGTAGAATCTTTGACAGATACAACTTTTTCTCCATTTATCATGTTAACATTGGTTCAGTTGTGATGATTTTGGTTTTCCTTACATTGAGTTGTAATCCATAACGAAGGTTACAATCCTTGATCTTTATCAGCAAGTGCTTCAATTCCTCTGCACTTCCAGCAAGCAAGGTTGTGTCATCTGTATATAGCAGGTTGTTAATAAGCATCCCTCCAATCCTGTCGCCATATTCTTCTCCATATAAGCCAGCTTCATATTTGCTTAGTGTAGAGAACGAACAAGTATGGTGATAAGATACAAGCCTGATGCATACCTTTCCTGATTTTAACCATGCAATTATGTCCTTGTTCTGTTCACACACTGGCTCTTGATCCATCAAGTTCCAAATGAGCACAATGAAATGCTCTGGAATTCCCATTTTTCTCAAGGTTATCCACAGTTTATTATGGTCCACGTAGTTGATTGCCTTTGCATAGTCAATGAAACTCATGCAAACATCTTTCTGATATGCTCTGCTTTGAGGCAAGCTCTGTTTGACATCAGCAATGACCTTCCTTATTCCATGTCCTCTTCTGAATCCAGCTTCAACTTTTGGCAGTTCCCTGTCAATGTACTGGTGCAACCGCTGTTGGATGATCTTAAGCAAAATTTTACTTGTGTGCAATATCAATGATACTGTTTAAGCATTCCGTTGGGTCACCTTTCTTTGGAACGGCCCAAATAAGGATCTCTTCCAGTCAGTTGGCCAGGTAGCTGTCTTTCAAATTTCCTGGCACAGATGAGAGCTTCCAGTGCTTCTTCAGCTTTCTGAAGAAGCTGAAGGGGTATTCCAGCAATTCCTGGGGCCTTGGTTTTGGCTAATGTGTTCAGGGCAGTTTCAACTTGCACCTTCAGCACCTTTTGTTCTTCCTCATATGCAAGCTACCTCCTGAAGTGGTGGTGGTAGGAAGAGGAAAAAAAGGTGCTTGTTTTTTAAAAAAAATCTTTGCAACTACAATCCTCTCCATAACCAAATGTGCCTTTTTACCTGAACTCCTTCCATCTGATTTGCCTCCTCTTACTACAGTCATTCTTACTCAACTCCTTTTCATTCTCCAGGTCTCTGCATCTCAGGAAGTTCCTCTTGGTACCATCTCCTCCCTCTACTTCCCACTCTGGGGTTAAGGCTTCACCTGCTCCTGTGATCAGCATCTATCTAGTGCTTTGTTCTATCGGAGCCCTTAACCATGTTACACTATGGCACACGAGTGGTCGTGGTCCTCACCATTGGACCATCTTACTCATTACTTTATACTCAGGGTCTGCAATCTAATAGGTCCAAAATAAATGTCTGCTAAAGAATAGATGTCAAAATTTTTATCTTGTTTGCACCCACAATCAATGCTTATGACAGTAGCAGTAGATATCAAAAGAGGCAACCCCAGGAGACAGGGCACCCAGCGGTGGGCTGGCTGTTGAGCGGGACCAAGTGGGCTGGTGGCCCAAACATGTCTGTGCTGGGGTTCACGTGTTGCAGAGGAATTTCCACAATGATTAATCAACAATAGGAAATCTGAAGAGATGCAAGCAGGAAGAAGACATTAAACCAGGTCAGAAACTACACTTCCCTATTAGTCAGCCACCCGTCCTGCTGACCCATCCTCATGGCTGGAGAGCGATGCTACAAACATGACAGAGGTCAAGTCCTCCTACTCGGACTTCATCTCGTGTGACCTGGCAGGTCATGGGAACACTGTGTCCAACATCCAGGGAGACTCCGAGGCGGTGAGCATACGAAAGCTGGCTGGAGACTTGGGCAAGCTGGCCGTCGAGGGAGCAGAAGGGCATGTGGGAGCAAGCGCCCCAGACAAGGCAGCAAGCACCCAACCTGAGAGCAGCAATGGGACCACCTCTTCCTGAGGCAAAGCCTGACCTGAGGCCCCTGCAGGAAGAGCCCCAGCACAGGCCTTAAGGCTTCCTCTGAGATTCATGGTCCCCACAATAGACTAAGAAGCCCTCCCGGGCATACCCTGTGCCTGGTGCCCCACCTCCTCACTGCCCAGGCCCATCCTCCCCGACACTGTCACTGCAGGATGTTATTTATTCAGCGGGGACTCGGGCAGGGTCCTGCCCAGCCCTGTGAGCAGTCCACCCAGGAAGGAGCCTCTGCCCACCACCCCCAGGAGGCCTGGGCAGGGACCATGTCCAAACACCAACCCCTACTCTTAGTCCCTACCTCTGGGGTCAAGACCTTCTTATTCCTTTTATAAGAAAATACTTTTATACTTTTTAAATACTTCAAACCTTTTTTCCCCCAGCTGACTGGGAGGGAACTGACAATCGATTCAGTTGTGTTTGCTTGCTTGTAAGTCATTTTAAGCTACACCCGCTAACCATCTACGTAGCCCTGGGTTCTTGGGGAGCTCTGCAGGTCTTCGTTTAGGAAAGGGATTTTATGCTCGAAATGATCTGAGCAACTCCTTTCCCTTTATGCTGCGAGAGGGGCACCTGGAGTGGGAAATAAAAGCTCATGGTTGGAGAAAAAAGTGATCAAAAGATGCATCGCTCTGTATAAATCTGGTGCACAAGACCTCTTTATTGTATTGAAGAACAAGGATATTACTTTGAGGACTAAGGTGCACCTGACTCAAGCCATGGTATTTTCCAATTATGAATGTGAAAGTTAGACATTTAATAAAAAGTCTGAAGAAGAATCGATGCATTTCGATTGTGGTACTGGCCAAGAATATTGAAAATACCATGGGCTGCTAAAAGGACAAACAGATTTGTCTTGGAAGAAGTAAGGCCAGAGTGCTCCTTGGAGGCAAGACTTCATCTTAGATACTTTGACAGACTTTCCAGAGAGACCGGTTCCTGGAGAGGGCAGCACTGTTTGGGAAAGTAGAGGGGTATGGGAAAAGAGAAAGGCCTGTAAGGAGATACACAGTGGCTGCAACAATGGATTCAAGCACAGGAACGATAGTGAGGGTGGTGCAGGACCACACAGTGTTTCATTTGTTCGGTTGTGCCCAAGGATGCTAGGGGCCAGAACTGACTCAACGGCACTTAACAACAACAATAATAATAACAACAGCAAAGATGAGTCATAGTGTCAGTTCTACCACAAGGGGACCTTTGAATTGATAGGTGCTATTTTTTCCACCTTGTTCCTGGCAGCTACTATTCTTTCAAAGGATGTAGGTCCTACTAGAATGATCAAAGTCACCACCCTGCGTTCATTGATTTCTTTTTCAAAATGTAATCCAGGAATGGCTTTCACCAGCAAAGACACCTTTCTATCTCTGTAGCAAGACCAAGGCACATAACTTATTTCTAAACACACATATCAGGTAGTACATACATAGATAGCATTTAATGAAATAGATCATTTAATCACATAACGCAGGGCAGAAAATTATTTAATAAGGCATTTCTAGCCATTGTCTCTGTATCACTCATCAAATGACCTTTTTCTGATGGGTAAGAGGAGGGAGAGGACACTGATAGGATTCAGGTGTAAAGTGCTTGTTAACAGGATTCATTGTAATTATCATCCTGCTGGGTATAAAATGAGCCCTTCTCAGGAGGGGGATCTCACTACCAGCAAGAACACGAGTGGAGTGTGCATCCTCAGGACCCCTGATCCCTGTGTAGTAAACCTCCTTGGTCCATGAGGCAGCTTTGACATCAGAGCAGTCAGAGGAGCAGCAGCAGAACCAGGAGGCAGGGCAGATCTCTCGGCCCACAAGCAAGTAAAGCTGAGTGCTTTTGTGGAGAAGGCTGACTTGTGGAGTGGGGTACTTCTCTGTTTCACTTCATCTGTGAAGCTGGGAGCCATTGCATTGAGACTTAATGGCCTGGGGCCGAGCTTGCTGCCTTGTGGATCTGGAGCCGAGTGCACGCAGCTGAGGCTCACAGGAGGACAGCATGTTCTTTGGGCACTTATTAGCAGTCCTAAAAGAGCTCTGTGACATGTCCTGACTGCAACAACTGAAGGCTGAGCATTTCTCACCTCAGCTGTAACCTAATCAACCTCTATGTGTGAGAATTGTTTATGAGTTGTGTGACCACTGCAATGAATTTTCAAGCCCAGTGTAATAGTAGAGTACTGTGTCAGACAGATCTAGTTAAGCTTACATAATTTTCTGAATTTCTCATAGCTACAAGTTCAGGGTTAGTAGGTTTCACAAACCAATGTGATCTCATGTACAGATAGTGAATCATGGTTTCAAAGTCAGCGTTATTCTCCAATTATACTCCATTAGGAAGATACATTGTCAGTGGAAATCTAATACTAAAACCAACCCATTCAGGAAAAGGCCTCTCACAGTCAGAGAGGAATACCCGTATAGAGACAAGGCATCAGAGTGAAGAGGACAAATGTATATTCAGTTTAATGGCACTACTTTCAGACATGTGGATGTTTCACCTTCAAACGCCACAACACAAAATGCTTATCGAAAGTTTTTAGACAGGTCATCCCTATGTCTGAGGGATATAAACATAGTAAACAGGATTGAGCGAAGTAGTCCACGAAGAGTATTTAGTGTCTTGCACATAGTAAATGCTAAGTATCGTTACTAATCTTTATTTTTGCAACAGCTTCCTTCCAGTCATTTCTAAAACCAGACATAGGTGGAATGTTTGGCCAGATCAGGTCCTTTACTCTGGATATTTCAGAAAATAAGGAAAATATTTGGTTTTAGGGCAGAAACATCAATGCTCTATTTAAATCATGAGCTTGAAAAGAGTATTTGTTTAAGGCTAAAGCTTTCCCCTTCTCCTGTCATTTCTCTCTCCTCAGACACCAGAGTCATCCCCAATCCTATTTTCTTTAGACCAAATAACCTGCATCTTTGACTGCATTAGTGTTTGTATTCCTGGATGGCGGAAGGTAGAAGTTGAAACTGGACAGTGGCGGAGTCAGAAGAGTAAAAATAAACTGTAGTTTTAGAGGGCAACAATTGGTGTTTCTAAGAGAAAAGGGGATATAACGTCCAGTTCCCCAGGGGAAATCTGTCCAGACTGGTTTTTTATAATCTTGTTTTGCCACCTATTATTGATCTATTATTACATATTCTCTGTGATTGTAATCATACGGATGCTGACACTAAACAGGATATGTATATATACACGGTAAGTAAAAACACAATTTTTTAAAAAAGTCTGAATGTGGTCATTTAGAAGTTCTAAAGTTGGAATGGTGCTGTCAAGTGATGTGTAGGGAAAACAACTAAATTCTTATCTCTAGAAAATTCCAACGAGAGCACAACTGGGTTTTTAAAGGGCTTTGCTAATCAGCCTTTCCAACTGTGACTGAGGCTAGTGTGTGGTGCCTGCACGTATGAAGAGGAAAATGAGCTGAAGTTGAGGAAACCAGAGAGGATTAGACAGTTTACATGTGGCAGAGCCAGCATTAAAACACAGAGCTAACGCCAAAGTTCCTGCTTTTAAAATACCAGTAAAGGTGGGCACTGCTATTTAGCCCTGAAGCTCTTTATACAAAGAACACCCAATCTCCAACAGGGTTGATGTTAAGGATGAAATGAAGCCACACATGGGAAGTGCTTACCATAGCACAGTGGCAGTCAAATACTCTTGGTTTTAATACCCTTCTTACACAATGATGGTCTTCAATAAATGCTAGCTTGAATTGTTTCGTTTCTTTAAGAACCTGAACAATGCTGTCTTATTTTAGGTCTACTGATATCCAGAGGTCTGATCAATTTATACAATTGAAAGTCACATAGAAATGATGATACATACAAGTATAAGAAGCCCTGGGGGCCCAGTGGATTAAGCCTTGGGCTACTAACCCGCAGGAGGGTGCTTCAAAACGCACTCACCAGTGGCTTCAAGAGACAAAGGCAGGGCTGTGTGAAATCCTACAGAGCAGTTCTAGTCTCTGCTATAGGCTAGCTAAGAGCCAGCATCATCTCCACAGTGATGACAGTTTTAAATATGCAAAGTAAGTGAACAACAACTCGATGATTAAAGCAACACGTGATACCATAGCTTACAAGTCATTCTCCATTTCACCTTTCCTTTCACGCAAACTTGGTTTCAGCATCACAAAGAAAAGGTTTTGCTTATTGTTGAAAAACGCTCCTAAATTCTATGTCATTTAAAATAAAAATAAATAGAAGACATCCGACAGACAACTTCCAATGACCTATTTTATAAGTAATACTTTGTGCTGTGGCTACCAAGGGCCGATGCACATGTAATAGTCATACTTATGAACACACATATACAGATCTAGAACTTATCCTAGGTATGTTATTCTTGTTATTATAAGCATGTTTTTATTACTGAAATTGTAGATAATTAGTTCTCTCATCTATATTATGAATTAGTACGGAAGTTCAAGTGCTGCCCTTGAAAAATATTTTTTTGATTTCAAAAGCTCAATACTCTTAGGGAAGCAGCAAAGCCCACATGGAAAAGCACACCCGGCTGTGTGGGCATGAGGTGAAGACAGGAAAAGGTATCAGAAGTTCAAAAGACATGCATCCAAATTGCTATGAAGGGGAATGGATGTAGTGGAGACCCAAAGTTCACCAGCAAGACATTTTTTTTTTTTTTTTTTACCAGCAAGACATTTGAAGGGCTTCAGGGAACAGAGAATAAATCCAGGGTGCAGTGTAGCACTCATGAACCACATAACTATCCTCTAGTTCTTTAAGATTACCTCACTGGTCATGTCAGACTTGCGTTATGTTCATTTGTACATTTAAGATTGCTCTGTACAGGACAGTCAAGATAGATGACCCCTCAGAGACACTGTCAGGAGGACGGGGTCCCTGAGGGTACGGGAAGTGGTAGTGGTGTGGGGGAGGGACACTGATAGCACTGATTACTGTATAACCCCACCCGATGGGATTGAACAACAGAACTGTATGGGAAGGGAAGGGATATTG